CCCTCTCATCAAGGTAACGAACCTCCCTTGCACCCGGCTTACACCGACAGGTTTNCGGTGTTGGGCATGCGCCAAAGGACGTTNTGGTGGGCGTCTCACGAGTGGTGCTGGTAGTGGTCGTCTGTGGTGGGCGCGGTGTGACAGGTGTGGCTGTGGTTCTTGAGATACTTGAGGAGGGGCGTGTCGTGTGGAAGGCGCTTGTTGAGGTTGGAGCAACTTGACAATGACACACACGACAGCCTTGACTGTCGAGTTCCCAAACTGAAACAGCACCGGGCTTGCAAATGCATACATGCGTATCACAGGATGGGGCAGTTGTAGGCATTGCTGAGGTGGTTGTGACCCGGGTCGTCGTCGGAGCGACGGTGTGCGTCGTGGTACTCGCAACCCGGGTCGTGTAAATGGCACCCGTACTTGAGATTGAAGCGGACGCAGAGCGCGTAGTGGGAGGACGTTCGGTAGAGATAACCGGGTAAGGCTCACAGTAGCAGCGATGGCACCCATTGGGCTCAATCACACGCACTTCATAACCACGGTCTCCGCAGATGCAGGTCATAATGACGCATGGGCTGCCTGAGTAGGGGGTGGTCTGCACAGGGCTGGGCGTGGTAGCGGCAGACGAGGGAGGTATGCCATTGGCCACCGAGCCAAGGGCGGCACGAAGCCGCCTTGCGGCTTGATCGGCTGGTTCACCGGTCACATATGGGACTCGAGCGTTCGGAAGCTCGGAATCAAGGATGCGCCGCAGGTATGTTTCACTGCTGGCTGCCACAACATCGTAGGTGAAGACAAGAGGGAAATCACGGGATTTCAGGTGCACCATGTATAGGACGCTGTCGCGCAGTACATCATCAACAGCGAGAAGGACAATGGGATGAAGGGGCGGGGAATCCAAGGCGATGACCTGGGCGAGATCTGCCAGGCCTTCTTGGTATGTGGCGACTGTTTTGAGCTGGCGCAGTGTTTGCCATTGGTTGAAAGCAGCGACGGAGTTGTTGATCCACAGTACCATGGAGCCAGCCTTGGAGGGTACCACAAGGCGAAGGGCTGTTTGTCCTCCGATCTGCCCGTACAATTGCTCGACCATGTTCACCTGCATGAGCCAACGCTGCTGGCTGGTCGACTCTTCCGGATCAAAGCACACGGTAACCTGAGATTCGGTCAAGCCTGTATGCGCGATCATGCACATGATCAGCGGGTCCCCAGACAAAATGGGGTGGGCGCGGTGAGCCGAGCGCAACATCGACAAACATTCAAGAAGGCCACATGCGTGTGTGTGTGTGCGCGCGCCTGAAACACAGAGCAGCCTCAAAAAGACGTACCCGTGGCAATGGTGGTGGCCAGAAAGATGAAAGCCAAGGATAGTGACCAAGCAAGCCGAGGGCCCCGAGACACCCCTGGCCGGGGCCGCCCGGTTAATTTTGCCATAGCGGCGCCAGGCCCGCGAGCGCGCGCTGGGCCGTTGGCGGGCCGATGAATGCGACCAAAGAGAGTGTCCCCACGAGCGTGTGGGCATGTGCATGTAGGAGCACAAAAAGAGAACTGATGGTCCCCCGAGAAGAAGCAAGAAGCTTGAGAAGAGGCAAGCCCACGGGATGCAGAAGCCCCTGCGAGGACGACCGCACCGCTGCTTCAACGGAGGTGCC